CAAAAAAATATACGTATTTTGGAAATGTTGAGTCGAATTAGTCTAGAATCGATTAATTTTATGAAAGAAAACCTTTCAAACAGCCGTAGTCCGTAAACTATGATTCCTACAAAATTGATTCATAAAGAACGGAACGTATCTACCGTCTTATAGGGGGATCTACTGTATATAATAATAATAAAGTTAAAATAAATTAAGTTAATATATAATTATATATACAGTACCTAATTTATATATAATACTGTACAGACGATAGTAAACTCAACTTACTCGCCTAAACTCTCTGTAGTGTGTAAGTAGTTCGGCTGCTCGTCTACTATTGGTCCAGATTCGACCAATCCTGTCGCAACACGAGTCGGCGACGACGTTTTACGACTCCCTTTTAACATCTTTATATGAATACTGTTGCAATTTTTTCGCCACGTTATAGGAATCTCCGTTATAGGAACCCGCGTTATAGGGGGGTCTACTATATATCGAATAACAAAGTAATATTTTAATGATAAACTTATGACCCGTTAAATAGATTAATAAAAATTAGTTAAATTAGCGAATAAAGGTGAAAATGATCAATTTTTAAACTTCGCAAGAGTTGGGCCTTGTGCGCTCGCATCGTTCAGCTCCACCAACAGCCAACCCTGTCAAAGGGACGCTGGCACAATAAGACAAATTATTCAGCACTGTGATACCCGCCACAAAATACAAATTAAATAAATGCTAATAAAGACAATGATAACCAAACACTTGGAGAAAGCAACTATAGCTTCTGTAGAATGAATATTTTCACTTATGAATTCACGGTGGTGAAAAAAGTCGGAATTAAATATTGAATTCTTGAAAACAATGTTACTTATAAAGCAAAATTGAGGATGGCCGGACGACCGAGCGGTCAACGTACAGACTACCGCTCTGGGGAACCCGAGATCAAATCCGGCCGGGTCGAAAAATCCTCAGGAATTTTTCGAGGGTGGTCCGTATAGATATGTTGGATCTCGGCCGCACCATTGTAGGCCTGGCTGAATCCATAATGTGCTGGCTAAAAGAGGCCCTCTTAGTGCCCGTAGGGCGGAAAGAGTTTAGAAAAATATATATATTATTTTAATATTATTTCATGAAATTATATTAATAATAATAAATATTAATAATTAATTTATATGAAAAATATTTTATTGTGCCATAAGATATGAAATCTAATGTAAAATATATATTAGCAGACGATAACGTATTTTGGCGCTGCTATCGGTGAAATTGTGTCAGCAGACGATAATTTTCATTTCAAAATTAATTTTATTGGTCCTTAGAATCACGTGTCATTGCATGATTTAAAAATCTTCGGCTAATTTTTTGTAGTGGATTTTACATTTTTTAAAAATATTTCCATTCTAAACTAATCTAAAATCATTAAGATGATTTCGACAGATTCATCTTTTATATTTTCAAATAATGAAATAATTATCAATTGGAATGACTTGCACGAGTTAATGAATAAAAATATTTTATTCGAAGACGAAAAAAGCCAAGTACCCGAGTTTATTTATTGTGAGTATATTGATACATTTAATAAAATTAATACATATTAACGATTCAGTATCATATATATATTGTCGAATACTTTGAATATATATGTGTTATTGAATCTTATAAATCCACATAAATCACTTTATCTACAAACATTCGACGGGATGGTAAAATTACTAATGTGTTAGCCTATCAATCTGGGATCTAGGAACGACGGGTTGAGAAATCTCAGGACATTTTCGGGGTTTCTCAACCCACCTTGAATATAAGGTTCGTCCCTTACTACTCGGCCACTCCATTCTAGACTTGGTCAAGCCCACAATGAACCTAAAGCATTAAGAAGACCTTTTTAGAAGCCCCTTAGTGCCTTGACGGAAAGAGTAAAATAATAATAATGAAAACTATAAATTAATCGAATCTAATAATTACAGTTTCTTTTTAATCAGTAAAGCGTAACTAGTAAATTAATAGATTTTTCTTAGATTTTTTTTGTGTAGGCTAACGGTTTCCGCCCTGTAGACACCAAAACAGCCTTTTTAAAAACAAGCTCATTATGGGTTCGGCCGGGCCCGGTGGAGTGAGAAACTGGGCACGACAAATCCGGACGGATAACACTCACAAATGTCTGAGATTTTCGATCCTCCAGAGCAGTAGGTTGCCACCTTAACCACTTCTGTAACTTTACAAAGGAGATTGTTTTGTGATGTCTTCAAGAAATTTCATCGCTGTTGCTTACAGTTCTGCTGCTAATTAAAACCTACGACTTTTTAACTTTTTTATTTTAGGGAATAGCTAAAAGTCTGCAGAGATCGGGGGAGTAGATGTTTGGAAGCACTGTTATGCCCTTGGTTAGATATCCATTCACTATGTCAATGCCCAATGTTCTTGCACATCAATTGTTTCATAACTTATAATGCAGGTGGATTTCCTCCTGTGCGACTCATCCTCCTCGACCGGATAGGACGATTCACGTGGGTGGAAATTCGTCTCTCATTCTCGAGGAAGCAATATTTCAGCCCCAGTGGCGTAGCGTAGTGGGGGCGGCAGGGGCGTCCCGCCCCAGATGGCACTTTCTAGGGGACGGCAAAATTTCACAATAAATAATAAAAATATCTTGTAAAATTTGAACCATTCTAATCTAAATTTGAGTCGCGCTTACGTTAGTGCCATCGTCTGGACAGTCTGGGAATCTACTCACCGCCCGTGTGAACTAGTAATTTCGTCCGACGATATCCTGCGCAACCTGTTGACCTTTTTTTTCTTTTCTTTTTTTTTCTTGTACGATTCATTCGTATTCATGTACACCTCCAACATCCAATAGAGCTATTTTAAACAGAGCTTTTAAACAGAACATCCAATAGAGCTATTTTAAACAAAATTTCGCTGCACTAGCACGGAACTTTTCATTACTTGTTCTGTGACAAAACTGAATTTTAGTCTTTTAAATTGAGATACCTAAATAAGGGGGAACGAAATTTTCCTCCGCCCTTGGCGGCTGACACCCACGCTACGCTACTCTTCCGTCCGTCCGCCTCGAACCTGACGAGTCACTAATCCAAATGCCAAGCTGTTGAAATCTCCTGCACTCCACTTATTAACAGAAATTGCTTTTTTGAGAGGCGAGCAGTTGTTTGCATCCATTTTTCTTATTTATTATTTTATTAATTAATTAATTAAAAAACAACTAATACAAACACAACATAAAAAGAAAGATAATTTACAGCATCCTCTTCTAATAAAATTCCGAGCTGATTATCACTAATTCTTCGTGGATGTTGTTCATATCGGAAAAACTCTCTTTAAATACTTTCACTCTTCCTTTTGCTCTTAATTCCGCTCGATATGCCGCTGAATTCGCTTAGTCCGTTCAGTCCGCCAGCCTCTTACCTTAATACATTCATCTCTTAGAACCGCTTTCTGAATTAGTTAAAATATTGAAAAATTATTTGATAAGTTAAAATTATTTTAAACGTAACTTATTTTATCTTTATGTTAAGATACATTATTTAGTGTTGATTTACTTTCAATTACGTTATTGTCAGTCTTATCTGATGTTATTCTTTAATTTAATAAGTTGTTAACATAAAATTAGTTGTGTTTGAAGTAAGGGCGCCCGTATATTGGGGCACGTGCCCACCCCTTTTCGTCTCATTCGCCCTTTTCTTAATCTCCAAGTTGGCCCCAAACAACAGAAAATTTCTGACTTTTAGCCTATTCTGCAAATATAAAATAAACTAATGAACGATTTTTGTTCATTGATTCATGCAACTTTGTTCTATGTTTACAAAACTCAGTTTTTTGTTTTCAAGACCAAGTTAGTCCCGAGTGCAACCAGTGCCACATTAAGAGCGCTGATCCGACGTTAAATCAGAGTTTGAAGTTCCTTGCATAATGTACGAGGCCCTTTTTATAGCTTGTGCCACTGGTTTGAAGATATGAATGATGTTTCAGAAGATTTTATCATTCTAAAAATCTATGATATTGAGAGGAATTATTTAAATTGCTTGCCAGTTGCCTGTTACAATTCGTCCATATTTGAAAATAGAATAGATAGGCATAAATGAGAAATTAATAGGTAAAAATGTTCTCGAATTCGTTTGAGAAACGCATAACTATAACTCTGACAATATTGAATTGATTTGTCCTGGGTGTATTTATGTTTTGAATTGTATTTGATAAATTAATTCATTATAAAAAAATCATTTCATAAAATGAGTTTGTATTTTTTAGTACGATATAATGTTATGTTTCGTGGGATTTCGAATGTTTAAAGAACAACAGATTTCGAAATATAAAGATGTTCCTTTATTTGAACAGCCGTGGTGCGTTATCGCAAAAGGGCAATTGTCCCTTGTTGGAGGTCCCAAACCAACCCTTTATAAGAAAATATTTCCCCCAAAAAATTCCCTCGAAGAAAAATGTCTGAAATCGCTGTACACGGGACTCCCTAATTCAAATTTACTTGGTTCCATGAACCTATAACGCGTCACTGGAACAGGGCTGTAACTAGAACGCCGCACCACCAGTGGCCAAGCGATCTTCGTACCCTGAACACTGGGAGTTCGGTCGTGGGTTCGCACCTCGCTCGGACGGGCTGACCACGCGGAGTTTTCCGGGTTTTCTCCACGTCTGTAACGCCTAACTAGGGGCCAGTTTCCCTTAAAAATACTTCCCGGAAGGCATCTCCCTAGGCAGATCGCCCAAGTGTTGCGTTGCCATTACCTAACAAACAAACAGCAGTCATTAGACTCAAGTCATAGTTAGATTTTAGGTCTTTGACTGCCACCGACGACACCACCACTACTAGTCTCTCTTTTGGACTGTAACAACGTGGTTGTACTGCACGTTAGCTGCTTGTATCGTATCTCACATCTTGTTTCTTTACAAAACTATAGTTAATTATAATTTTATTTAAAAGTATATTCATACAGTTGAAGAATATTTTGTACCAGATATGTACCGGTACATCCACCACACATTATATTTCACCAAGTAAGTTTATATTTTATTTTTATTGTAGCCCCTGTATTGTGGCTAGCAATTCAGAATGTAATTGTGATATTAAAAATACATTTAGAAAAGTCTACGATTTTTACTGGCTTATCGAACAAACGAATACGAATGGACCCTAGACCAGCACTGACGCGCAATTAACTGATTGCCCCTGGAAGTCGGCTTCTTACAGAAACACAGCTTTCCTATCATCAAATGTCACGGCAACCATTGCCAAACCCACGTCAAATATTGGATTTTTATTGGTAGAAATACCAAACTGGGGTTTCGCCATAGCGAATTACGAAGAGATGCATGCAAGGAATTATTTGCAGCTATGAGTACGTCTCCAGATTTTCAGCAAACCAGAACTGCACCACTTCCATTTGAAAAACCTTCATTCACTCGGTGGCTTGTGCGTGGGAAGGTGATGTTTAATATTCTCATGAACTAGAAAGAATTAAAGGCTTATTATATCTCTGCTGAGTTAGACCAGTCGCATTTTGACGCAAAATATGAAGCAAGACTCTTAAAATAAATGCTATCTGATTACAAAAATTACTTGTATTTTAACTTTGTGACATCTATTGTGCAGGAATTTGAAAAATTGAACAGCCCTTTCCAACAAACAAAAACTGATTCTAATGAACTGTATAAACTTTTCTTACGTCAGCAAAGTCTTCAGAACTGGTTGAACAATGTAACAGGCAAAAGAAAAAGATTCAAGAAGTTGATTTTGGTGCCAAATTCATAATAGCATGCAATAAATTCCTACAGAACAACAGTAATGAGGCTCGTTTAGAAATTAAGACTGTAAAAAAAAAAGATGCATGGCTGTTCTTGAAGAAGCTCTCAATCAATTCCATCAGCAACAGTTACTTTTTAGTCTATTAAAATTAAGCCCTGGAATAGTTTTAAATCAAGCTTCAAAATCTGTACTGTATTTTCTAACTTTCCATTTCTGCATCTTGCAAGCAACATCAACATAATTGAAAAACAGTAAAGGAAGTTACCTTTTGTTGATTGGCAAGAAGAAACTCCGTTTAAGAAAGATGGACTCCCTGTACACAGAACAAATTTGGATTGGTGTGCTTCAGCATCATGCATTTAAAGAGCTTGCAACCTTTGTTCTTACTTGTCTGATAACTCCTATCAGCAATGCTGTAGTTGAAAGAGTAGTTTCTCTTGTGAAAACAAAGGCAAGAAACAGAATGCAGCTAAATCTTCTTGATGCGATTGTTAGAATCAGAGTTACTGCTTTTAGGGAAATGTTGCAAAGACTTTTCTGCATCTCCAGAAATGCTAAAAAACTATTCAACAGACACTGGGTACAGCGAATGTCGTTCAGGTGTGGAAGATAATAATCTAGATCTAGAGCTTTTCTTATGATTGTAATAAAAATATATATTGCATTTGATTTGTTGAACAAGAAAGCAATATGAAATTTAGTTTGGCTTAAAAAAAATACTGACTGGTCTTTTTCCAGTACTATTTGGCCTTAAACTGAGATTAGGAGTTGGCAATCCTGGCCAATAGGTCAATCCGTAGAATACTAGAAATTAATTTTAGGAAACTACTGATGACAATTTTACAAAAAAATTGTAAAAATATATTGTTTTATATTGAAATTATAAAATATTGGTTTTTGATTAGAATTATGTTATAAGTAGACAGCGGACATATAGGCCTTTAAAAGTGGCGTTTTAGGCGCTTAAAATAAGCTCTTAAATTGCGTAGTTTAGGCTTTATAAACAAAAAATAGGCGGTAAAAAATTGCACAATGAACAATTAACGTACTTATCAGGACAATGAATTTTTTATTTAACATATGTATTTAAAACAAAAATGCACGTATTCAGAATGATACAAACACAAAGGTAAACAAACAATTATCTTTACATTTTTTTATTCGCTCTGTTTCCCATAGTTAGCTTCATAATATATTACAAGCACTTTTTCCAAATTTTCAATAAAAAAGTTGCAACGTTTGTCACTGAGAATTAATTTATATGCAGAGAAAGAGCATATAATCCGTTATCTTCAGTAGATGTGTTTCACGTCTACTGAAGATAACATACAATATTTCAACCTTGGAAGAAGATGAACCAGGAATTCACTTTCAGTTTTGCTCTTCTTTCCTGCCAAAATATCAGCCACAATAAACAAGCGCTTTAATCCAAGTCTCTTTTGAAGCACTGCTTTCAACTCTTTCTTCACTTTTTTTGCAGCAGTGCCTGGTGCATCACAAAGTTTCTGCTTTGCTCTGTTGAGGAGATCAATTTGTTCATATATAGGTTTCCCACTACTTTCAAGAGCAGTATAGTATCTACAATGAATGTGAAATAACACTTGATGTACATCAACTTGTTCTGAACATAAATGTCATTCAAAATTTTCTTGGCTTTAGTTAAACAAATTGCACAGGCTAGTCCGCTAAGGGAAAAATAGGCATTTGCCTAAAATCCGCTGTCTAAAAATGACAAATGAAGCATCTCTTCACATAGTTTTTATTACTATAAAATTGCATCAAGGGGTGTAATTTATTTCAGTTATTATTGCATTCTAATTTTTTCTGCTTGGGATATGCATCCACTGGGACTTAAATATAAGTAATCAATAATATTAAAAAAAATGACTCTGTCTGATTGCATTTTCAGGAAAAAATGAAACATAAGCAGTTTAATTTAAGAATTAAAGTAAACCATTGCGGAAAATGAAACGAAAAATTAATAAAAACTTTTTAAAAATATGAAAACAACCTAAACTTTATGTTTTAGGCAAAAAATAGGCAGAAACGTCAAAATAAGCATTTTTAGGAATTATAAAATACCATTGTTTCGGTCTAAATGTTCATGAAAAGTGTTCATACAAAATCTTAGCCATGTATATGCCAAGGAAAAAATTAGGCATTTGCCGAAAATCCGCTGTCTAGTTATTAGTTAGTTTTACCACTTGGTAATGTCAGAAAATCTGCAGAAAAACCTGTCTGAGACTCATATCATTTACTTTAAAACCACAATTATAGTCTACTGTTTCAAGTACATCCTTACTAATAAAACAGACATTAATAATAAACCACGATTACATAATTGTAATTGCATTTCAATATGGGATAATTCCACAATTTTATCAGTAAACTGATACATTACAGATGAAATATTTGTACAGTAATATCTCGCCTTACGCAATTTTCAAATCTTGTCGATTCGTCTTTTGTTTGAGCGCCACGCAACTTTTGATTACTCACTGCCCCCACACTATTGCTCAACTTACATGTTCAGACGTGTCGCGTGGAATTGACACATAGCTACAATTTATTTTGTGTTATTTATTTCTGTGTTTGTTATATCTACGGACCCTTGAGACTCTATGTGGTGATTTCTTGTAACCGTGAACGAATCAAAAGACGAGATAAGATTAACGAGAACATTTATTAGCTTACATACATCCGACTTGGATTTTACACAAATTGTGAAATTATACCCTGATTTACGCGGTTATCGCTCGGTCCCACCTATCGCGTAAGTTCGGGGTATTACTGTAATTAAACTTATATGGTTCTTATCATACTTTATATTGGTTTATTTATTAAAATAAAACTTTCAAATTTCCAGAATACTATTGAATTTTACATTGTATATTAATGCGAAAAAACCAATTAAAACATTTCATTTTGAAAACTGTTCTTGTAAATCATAACAATTTCAAGTATTATTAATTATACATTCAAAGAAAATATATTTTTACCAAAGCTAGAGTATTGATCTCAAGTTGAAATTTCTAATATTTTGGATGATTAAGTGTTAATTTGATTACGAATTAACATTAAATTCTTTGAAATAAAACAATAAAGTTATATATATCTAATATTTTATATATGCAAATAATTTTTCTTATTGTTATACATATTCTACCTGAAGCATGTGGAAAAAAACTGGGAAATAAAAGGAAAAATTTCAGATTTCCAGAAGTAAATATAGAAATAAATGAGGTAAAATTTGTATCATTTATGTTAAATAATTTAATTTATAGATTTAAAACTTTATTTATAAAATATTATGATACATTTATTTTGTAAAATTATTTCAGAAAGATGAAAAATGTCTGTTTATGAAAAACGAAATTTATATCAAAAATATATTACCTGACCCACAGTTTTATATATTTAAACCAAATCAACTTGCACAGCAAACTTATCAATCTGTAGACAATGGAAAAAAGAGTAATGGAAAGAAAAACCGACTACAATATAATGCTACCTGCTATGTTTGTCGATTAAATCAAGAAAATAAAACTATTAATTGTCTTCTTCCTGAAGGTAATTTTTTTCAATACTCTTACTATAAACTTGGCATTTGTTTTGACTTTTTATTTTAATACTTCAGGTACTAAATTAATAAAACCTAAAAAGAAATTAGTAGCATTAGTGGCTGATGTCTTATATAACAGTCCTGAAGGCATTCTTCCAGTGCAGCAAATTTATTCTGCCCTACAGTAAGTGTATTATTAAACAATATATGATAACAGCAAAATTTTAAAAATTTAAATTTAAAAATAATTATTTGAACAGAAAGAGATATCCTTATTTCCTGTTTATGAATAAAAATGCAGTTAACAGCTGGAAGGTAAAAATCTTAAATATTTAAGTTTTTTGTTTAATAAAACCATATTTAATATTTTTGCTTGTTCTCTACAGAGTTCTGTTAGACATGCAATATTTCAAAAATGGTTTTTTAAAATGAAAATATGTAATGGTGATTATAAACAAAAATGTTCATATTGGGCTTTAAATACTGCTTGCACACCAAAAGAATGGATTATGCCAGGTATTAATCTAAGGGAAAGAGGTAATGAATTATGATTTTTGAGATTATTTCATTTCATTTGAACTTTACTTATAGAAAAAATATTTGCAGGTGCCTTAGCACAATCAGATATTTTAACAGCTGTGATATTAATAAATTATTTACAACAATCCAATTGTATTTCACAAAATAAAACTATCAATGACGACAAACTTACAGATATTAATATTAGCTTAGATCAGAGTAATCAATCATCAAAAATGTTAGCAATGCAAAATAAATATCCAAATATATCACCCAAACAAAATTTACATGTGCATAATGAAAAAGAATATGATCCAGTTATATCAGGAATAGGTTCTCATAGAATAAAAAAGAGTTTACATTTTTCAAATGAAGGTAGAAATTTAATATTTCTTTCTTAATTAATTTAGATTTATTTTTAGATTTTAATATTAGTTTATTGTAGATGACAAGGAAAACTACCCAGTTTATTTGAACATAGAACCACAGATGATAGTAGAAAAAAAAGATGACAAATTATTTCATCACAACAATTTCAAAGTAGAAGAAGAGGAAAACAATCAGTATTATACATTTACTTCACTAATGCAGAATAATCCACATAATAATGAAAACTGCAATCATTTAGAAATTTATGAACTATTTGATTTTTGTATGCACACATATGAAGACAATCCTTCAAGTTCTAATGATTGAGATAGAGGTATGTAAAACATTATTTTTATTTGTAAATCTTATAATTTTATATTATTCTAGTTGTAGAAATCTTTTTAATTATTATATATTTGTCTCATAAATAAATATTACATTAAAGCATGAATATAATTACTGTTTATTGAAATTATAACCAATTTTTAATAGTTTCTTTCACCAAATTGTTAGCACCATAAATAAACATCACAAATTCATATAATTAATAACGAATGCAAATAAAAACAAAAACAATATACAGATTTTTGATATTTTAAAACTTAACAGTAGTCTTGAAAGATGTATATCATTTCAGATTTTTCATATTTTTACATATCCAATTTAAAAGCATAATAAAAAAAAAATGTATATANATAAATACATTTGAAAAATAACCAAATTTCAAACAGTTTTAAACCCTATTTTCATTGATTCTGAAATGAACCTCTGGTTGGATTGTAGATGTTATGGTCAGCCTTATTTAGAATATTCCCGATACATCTAGAAGGAAACTTTCGGAATAAACTCGATATTCGAACTAAGATCTTTCTTCTAGAATAGTGGTTCCCAATTAGTTTTTCCTACGTACCACTTCAAGAAAGAGCTAAAACTCGCGTACCCTCTTATAACAGAAATTCATATTAATCCATACTAATATTATAAATTCGAAGGCAATTCTGGCTGTCTGTCTGTTATCTTTTCACGTTTAAACCGCTGAACAGGTTTTAATAAAATTTGGCACAGAGATAGCTTGCATGTTGGAGATGGACATAGGCTACATTTTACTGCGAGAAAATATCTTACTCCCACGAAAAAATTCGATATAATGGGACGAACCTGTGGGTGTTGCTAGTGATAAATAGAATAAGTTTTTTTTACATTTATTACCTTTAAAATAAAATTCTAATAATAATGAAAATAACATAAGGTTGTTTAATTTTAATGTGACAAATGTGCACGATTTTCTTTGCACAACTTTGTAAAATCTGGTTGCTTTTTGTCAGCTTCAGTTGAAGTCGATGATGATGTTTAGTTTTCATGTTTGTCATGGCTGAAAATCCGCTCTCGCAGAGGTATGTTGTGCCAAATGGTAGTAAATATTTTATTGCTGCTTCGCTGACATGATAAATGTCTTTTAGGTCAACCCAAAAATTACTCAGTGATTGCTCTGCAAAACAACTCTTGAGTCTGCTGTTGCATGAAATTAATTCCTTTTGGTCAGAGATGGGAAGGTGGTCGGTGGAGTTATTCGCAACAGCAACAAAAATTTTCAAAATTAATTTCGTGAAAACAAATTGTGTTAATTGTACAATTTTTGTTTCTTGCGTAAGAATTTCATTTAGGTATTTTTTTTAACTCTTTCCGCCCGGTGGGCACTAAGAGGCCCATTAAACTCTTTGCAAGCCCATTATGGGTTCAGCCAGGCCTGCAATGGGGCTGCCGGGTGGTGAGGGACGGGGTCCGACATATCCGAACGGACCACCCCCCAGAAGTATTCCTGGGGATTTTTTCGACCCGTTCGGATTCGAACCAGGGTCACCCAGAGCGGTAGGCTGCACCTTGACCGCTCGGCCATCCGGCCTCATTTAGGTATTGTCGCAAATGCATTTTTTTAAAAATGAAATTTCGAGAATATTTTTAGTTATAAATAAACGAATTTGTGCATTCGACATCATGTTGTAAATTGCAGAATTTTTGATGGTCCTCCCATTATTTTTTTATTGCTTCATCTCATGCATTAAAATTTTAAATCGACCGATTTTAGATTGCCGCGCGTACCCCCATGGGTACGCGTACCACTAATTGGGAACCATTGGTCTAGACTCTAGAGCAGTGGTTCTTAATCTTTTTATACTCGCTGCCCACCAAATATTTCATAATGTTTTGTGACCCCCATTTTTTAAAATAATAATTTATATTTGTTAAATTATCTATAATAAATTGATTTTTTTATTATTGCTTTATTTTTAAAATTTCAAGCATTAATAGTTTCTTAGAATTACTTTGGAATTAAAGAAGTAAATACTGCGGTGTAAGTAGCACATTTGCATTTATTTCTTCTGTACTAACAAAGTTGTATGTAGGAAGAAATAAGAAATAAATAAAGTTTTCATATTTAGTTTTTTTTATCTTTCTTATTTCACTTTTCAATACGATATTTGGTTATACATCAATTTTCTTTTTATTATATTCTGAAGGAAATTTTGCATAATTTGGCGGCCCCCGGCAAACTTCTTATGGACCCCCAGGGGCCACGGCCCCCTGTTAAGAAACACTGGTCTAGGGTCCATTCGCATCGTTTATTCGATAAGCCAGTAAAACCGTAGACTTCTCTAAATGCAATTTTAATATCACAATTACATTCCGAATCGCTAGCCACGATATAAGGGCTACAATTAAAAATAAAATAATAGACTTACTCGGTGAAATAAAATGCATGGTGGATGTACCGGTACATACCCGGTACAAAATATTCTTCAATTGTAAGAATATACTTTTAAAGAAAATTATAATTAAATATAGCTTTGTAAAGACGTACTGTACATAAAAATATAAAATATTCTTTACTTTTTAAATCTTAAAAAAATGCACTTAGTCAAATAGCTCCCTACGAGTGGCTAAAAGATGGAATCGAAGACGGTTGCAGAGCGTGCATACACGCGGACTGCCAAATCCCCAGGGTGCCGATACCGGTCAATGTCAAATACCTCTTTTGTCGCATCACTAGTATATCTCAAAGGACGCGACAGGGTTGTTGTAGATTTTAAACGTTTCTCACCATAATCTAAATTTGTTAAACTTAATAGTCATTTGTTTTCTAACTAATTCGTTTTAGGACCAAGAGTCCACGGAAATTTCCAAAATTTACAACTTTTCGGTCACTCTCGTCGAACTGGAAAAATGTCTGTCTTTATTACATTAATAATACTAAGAAATCAGTCTCCACTGTACTCGGCTAGAGATGTTTCGGTTAAGCTTTTGTTTAAGTAAAATTTCGGCTCTTTCTTTAGGGTTTTGTTTATGTCCCCAATTCCCTAATCGTTTAATTATTTAACTACTTCTTAAGTAGAAATAAGTCGAAACTAGTTACTTTGTACTCGAATATTTGTAGTCTTGGGAAAAAAGTGTAAAGACAAATTTTTATGACAAACGGATACATAAATCGTAAATTTAAGGAAAATAAATTCTAGAGCTTTTTCTGTACCTCGCGTATCTCTCTCATTCATTAAATTTAGTTGTAAATGACGCTGTAGGAATAACGGTTAATTTTTTAACATCATACAAGAATTGTACACGTTTTTTTCTACATACTCCTTAAAGATGGGATATACAAAATCGTAATATCACCGGTTTAACATTAAAATCGGTAATTAATATAAAATCGGAGAGCGGAATAAATATATCAAATATTTTAATGGATTTTTTTATTCTCCTGTCACCTATACAGAACTATCGTAAAAACATACCAGTAAATTCTTATCGGTTGGGTTAAGTTATAAATCTACTCGTTATTCACGTAATCGAAATATCTAGTGGGCTGGCGGCTAACAGCCGAGAACCAGTCCTTGATAGAATTGGAAGCGTTAGAATGTGTAGCATCAACTCAAGGTCGTAGGCTTCCACCGGCTAAACCGGGTGAAGTTGGTGCTCTGTAAAGCGCGTGCGCAAATCTGGCTTTTTAGAATCTGACAATACAGAAATTCCACTCCGCCACTAATATTCGAATATACAATAGCAATCTTATCTTTTTTTCATGTGTAGTATAGAAATTTGTGATAAGATACATGGTGCGGTTATAATAAAATATTGTGCGATTATTTTCATATAATTAAAATTAATATGTATTTATTTTTTATAAAATGCAAGGGAAGCGGCGCTTTCACCGCTTTTAATAATGGCACACCACTGGAAACAACCAAACTCTTTATATGGTTTTCGTTTTAAACTTATATTATAGTATTTGATTTACATTTACAAAGGTTATCTTACATAGAACTTTATCACGTCGAGTGACCGATCTAATACATTTTAAAAATTCTTTATTTCTCTAATGTACACAATCGAAATAAGTTTTTAAATGTGTTAGATTGGGTATTGAAGCCATATTTTTACTTTATACAATCAATTTTTGTTTCACTAAAACAAATTCAAAGTAATAGGAACTGGATTACAAAACGAATATTTCCAACTAAAACTGATAATAGAAACTAATTCAATTGATTTTTATATATATTTTAAAAATAATTTTTCAATGTTTTTTTAAAATAACAGTTGAAAAATTATACGTCGTTAAATAATAACTTATCACATATTCGTAGTGATTTAGAAGGTTTAGAGCGATATGTTAATTATTTTAACACTTATTTTCTATTCTGAACTTTGCTGTTTTCAAGGTATTTGGCAGGATTTTCTCTGCTTATTTAACATAAACCGAAATTATTCAATTTATTTAGTTTTTACTTTGTTTAAACTGGTAGTAAATTGCCTTGTTTTATATGATAAAAAATCTCACAAGTAGATAACACAGAGAGTCCTATAAACCTCTACTGCCTCCAGTCCGCCTGCCCGTCTTTCCTTTAACTCGTAAACGAAGTTAGATACATGAAGACGGGAGCAGATATCTTATTTTATAAAGCTTCAGTTCTCGATCAAATTTTCATCAAATTAATTTATTTTAGTGCTCAAATCTCCTAAAATTGCAATCTTATTTAGGCTTATAATACAGAAATATTATAAGCCAAAAATTTTACTGCTTTTATTACACGTTCATATAATTTCAAGCAAATATTTACGGTAACGGGAAATAATCTATAAATTAGAATAGAGTAATTTTAATTAAACTGCTAATGAATCTTAATGGATGACGCCCATTAGAGAAATGTAGTAATGAAGTTAAGTTGATAAATTCATTATCAAGGTAAACATCTAATAAATATAATTTGGTTGTAAATTATTTCAAATATTAAAATGGTGGATGACATAAATTTATCTTACACTAATGCATAATTAAGA